GGTGTGGGGAGGAAGGGGCCCCGCCCGAGTCCTGGGGTACCACCCTCCCCGCCTCTTCTCCTCCAGCGGGCGCCCCCTCTCGCGGGCAGCGCACCTCGGCTCGCTGTGAGGTCGGTTAGGGTTCGCCTGACGAGTTGAGGGAAGGAGAGCTCTGGGTTAAAGGTGAACCGTGGGCTCAACGAGCGGGTCGGCTCTTGCTGGTGTGGGGAGGAAGGGGCCCCGCCCGAGTCCTGGGGTACCACCCTCCCCGCCTCTGCTCCTCCAGCGGGCGCCCCCTCTCGCGGGCAGCGCACCTCGGCTCGCTGTGAGGTCGGTTAGGGTTCGCCTGACGAGTTGAGGGAAGGAGAGCTCTGGGTTAAAGGTGAACCGTGGGCTCAACGAGCGGGTCCCGGCTCTTGCCTTTTCCTCCTGTGCTGTTGGACTTCTCCAGGCCTCGGTTTCTCCTCTCGGAGAGGGGAGGCGTAACGCCTTGCTCCGGAGCAGATTTGTGAGTAACTTCTCAGCCGCCAGGTATTGGAAGTCGGGCGGATCGCTCGGCCTAATTGGCCAGAGGCTGAGAAATCCCAAAATAAGATCTGAAGCAGCTCTTAAATAAAGTAGTTGTTGAAGGGGTGGGATGAAGCGAACCCTTTGTGGGGTATGGTGAGGGGATCATGGCCGATACACGGTCAGAAAACAAGTTGGGAGTCACTGCCCTCCTCAGGGAAAGACCTGAATTTGGCTGGTTTAGGCTTCATTCTTTCAGCTGCTGGCCATGAAACTTCTCTGCGCAAAGGGATGCTTTCAACCTCTAATGCGTTGCCCTTATCAAACAGATTTAGGCTGCTTTGATAATTTTGGATTTGGTGATGTTCCGTTGACCAAGTAGGTCAGGACTGAGGCATTGAAAAGTGTTCCTTAACACTGAAATTGATGGCTAAAGGTAAGAATTTTTACAATTTTGAAGGTGTTCCTCTTTGAAATGCACCTCCTTGTGTCCAATTTCTCTCCCTCCACATACACTGCCAGTTGCAACCTCACTTGTGTGCTAATAGAGCTGTGGCAGGAAAGCCATCACTACCCCATTGGTAAGACTAGTCTCTGCTTAGTACTACTCTGAGTATTTCTTGGTTTTAACCAGATTGGGCAGAGATGGAGGAATCTGGAAATTTTCTGATAATCTATTCATGGGTGCTCTTGGCTTTTCTCCTCTCGTTGCATAGAGCACAGATAATATGCTTTACCCACCATCTATGCGAGGTTTGTGAGGAGATATGTTATTTGAATCTTGGCTCTGCTGTTCGCTGGATGGGTGGGGCAAGTGGGCTAGCACCGGTCTTCCTTTCCTCATCTGTACTGACCTTCTTAGATTGTTGTGATGATGTATTTTCTATTTTTGTTTAACAAATTTAGCAGCTTATTTAGGGTTACAGGAGGATTGAAAGTTCAAGCCCGGCCTATGACTTGGTGAGAGCTGTCCCAAAATAAAAAGGACTGGGGACATTCAATGTGAATATCCGTGGTTTCACTTCTCAGTACTAAAGAACATAAACAAAAAACAGCACCCATTTGTTGTCCTACAATCCCAGTACTTGGGAGCCTTAGGCTTCATAGTGAGGTTAAGGCCAACCTAAACTGCGTAGTGAGATTCTATCAAAAAATGGAAGAAAAAAAAAAACAAAAAACGAAAAGAAGTTCAAGCAGGCTCAAGTTTGGTTCTCTGCTTAGGGTATCACAAGTCAGAAGTCAGTGTGTTGGTTGCATTGCTCCTATCTACAGACTAGAGAAGAATCTGCTTCCAAATTTATTGGAAGTTGCTGGCAGAATCCAGTTCCTTGCTGTAGAACGATCAGCTGGAGGTCCACTGACTTGGGACATTTGTTTCATCTATCAAATTATCAAATCCTGTTTGATTGAATAATTGAGGGGGTGCTATCTTTAGAATTCTGCTTGTTGTGGGGGATCAAATGAGGAAATGTATGAAAAGCCCTCAGAGCCAGTCGCAGCATGTAGCAAGAGCTCTACAAGCGTTACCAAAGACGTCGCCTGAATTTGGCTCTGAAGCTGGGCGATGGACTGTGTGAGGGTGACATTTCTATAAAACATGGAATTGACAATGCAATGTGTGTTGGGTTATGCAAACAGGTGGGCAAAGCATAAAGCTATGCTCTATGCAATGAAAGGAGAAAAGCTGAGAGAACCTTTGGGCATGGTGAAACTGCGTAATATTTTGTTATGTGGCAGATATTGATATTTCATCTTTGTTTTTCCACAGTGATTTCCTGATGCAACCATTTTTGACTCTCCAAGAAAGGCTACCATGGCATTCCCTCACCTACAACAGCCCAGCTTCTTACTGGTAAATATCAGTTGCATTTGGAAGTGTCAAAGGTGATAATAGTTGTATAGCTGAGGGGCTTAATGATTCTTTCCACTGATTCAGAGAACACTCTAGTGGTTTTTTAGGGGCATGTCATAGAAATAACACAAGACTCAAGATTAGAATGTTAAGCATGAGTTTGCCTTTCTGCATGAGTTTGCCTTCCTATTAATTTAAGACCTTGAGTTTATGCAGTTTCTGAGCTCTAGTTTTCTTATCTACAAAATGATTTAATTCAAATACCATTTTCATACTTCCCAGAGTAGGAGGAGGAAAACATGAGAAAAATATACATCAGAATGTTCATGACCCGCAAATCCTTATGGATATATGAAATGTTCTAATAGTTAGAACTGTTATCAGTGAGAAATGCAGCTGGGATTGCATTTTAAATAGTAAACATGATGCTGAAAAGTTAGGTATGAGGCAGGTATTGGCGATAAAGATTTCTAATTTTAGGGGCCGGGGATTTTGCTTAGTGGTGCTGCTGCCTGCCTCAAGCACAAGGTCCTGAGTTCAATCCCCAGTACCCGCCCCCCAAAAAAAAATGATTTCTAATTTTAGTTCTCTGAGGATGCTTTTTGTACACATTTATTGGGAAGTGCCCTACTAGATCCAACGAGCCTGACCCATGGCTTGAACAGCTCAGGCCTCCATCTCTGACCTAGCCTGTAATGTCCACCCTTATTTGGAGGTGGACAAAGTGTTAGACGTCCGTGGGAAAGCCTTCTTGTTATAATTGGGGCCTCTCCCACCTGATCTGAACCTGTTTGCACAGAAGCCTCTTCTCTATGAGATCAGGGTGCTTTCTCCACATCCCACAATTTGCGGTAGATTTCCTCAGTTCTTGTCCTAAATGTTTGCTGGTATCTGCTGCTTTTATGATTAGTGTTAACTTGGGTGAGGCCACGTATAACAACAGGCTATCTTGTTTTTTAGGGCCCTCCTCCCCTCCCCTTCCTACTTCCCCTACCCACTCTGTATCTGCTGATTAAGAAGAAAAAGCGCTTCTCCTGTGACCTTTGTTAAATTGTGCATTCTCAGTGATGATTATGGTGGTGTGATCATAGTTGGTGTAGTGGGAAGTTCTGATTCATGTGTTCAGACTCAGTATTCGTGGACTATGAGAAGTAATGTACATAGTAGGGGTTTTCTGCTTGTGGGACTGACCCTGGCACTGAATCCTTGCTTATGGGCTGGTGGAGGTCTGTTTTATTCTGATAATTCACAATGTTTGGATTGCCTGAGGACAGTGCTGAGAAGCAAGCTTGAAAAGTACTAGTCTAGAGAAGGTAGAGCTCTAGCTTCTCTCTTCTAGTGGCATCCTTGGGGCCACTGACACATGTAGAATCTGATGCATGAGGTGCTGGGGAGCCAGATCAGTGATTGTCTAACTTGTACCTCTTGCTTGGATTTCCATTTTGACTCAGCCAGAATTCCTCTGAAAGCTATAGAGCAAATATGTTTGTGTTTTTTTTTTTCCCCACTCTGTTTCCTAGGCTAGCCTGAAAGCTGATTCTATAAATAAGCCCTTTGCACAGAGGTGCCAAGACTTGGTAAAAGTCATTGAAGATTTTTCAGCAAAGGTACAGCATCTCTCTTTGGGGCATGCCATATGCACACTTACTGCATATACCTTTCATGGGTAGGGGCCAGGGATTAATGCACAGGATAATCCCCTGCGTCACAAAAAGTGTCTAGCGGTGCCAAAGTTGAGAAACCTATGTATTTAATTTACAACTAGAATGTCAAGCCCAAGAAGTTGGCCTGTGTAATAGGTTAATACCAAATGACAATAAATCATAGTTTTGTTTTGATTGAGAATAAACAATGTTGACCTTTTTAATAGTTCTCTTTAGATCAAAAGTTTCTGTTTTTTTATGTGTTTGGTGGTGGTTTTGTTTTTTGGAGACAGGGTTTTGCTCTGTAGTTCAGGCTGGCCTTGAGCTCAATATGAAGCCCAGGCTAGTGTTGAACTCATGGGGATCTTCCTTGCCTCTGCCTCTCAAGTGCTGGGATTATGGGCATATGTCATCATGCCCAGCTAATTTTCTTCTTTTAACTAAATTTTATATCACAGGCTGGCTTATTTAACTCGCCCAAATATAAAGTAATGCTACTTGGTCTGCCCTGTAACTCCAGTGGAAGAACTCGGAGTGCTTTTCAACACTACACGACCATTCCTATGGGACGGGGTGGTCCTGTGGGTTTCTACTAGGGAGTAACCTTTTCAGAGAGAGGTGGGCAATGCACAGTGCAGAACAGGAGCTGGGATGTGAGTGGGCACTGGTCCTCCCTGTACTGTTTCAGGAGCTGCACACCATCTTCCCATGGCTGGTAGAGAGCATCTTCGGCAGTTTGGATGGCATCCTCATTGGCTGGAACCTCCGCTGCCTGCAGGGGCGTGTGAACCCTGTGGAGTACAGCATTGCCATGGAATTTCTAGATCCTGGGTAGGTAGGTTTGCTACCTGAGAAGGGCTAGATACTTTTGGTGATCTTATTTTAAATCACTCTGTTGAAGAAGAAATGAAAACAAGATAGCTTGCAGTTAAATTGCTCTGTGTTGGCTTTAATTTTATGTACAGTGGCCCAATGATGAAGTTGGTTTATAAACTTCAAGCTGAAGACTATAAGTTTGACTTTCCTGTCTCCTACTTACCTGTAAGTAAGCTATGGTGGTAAGAGTGGTGTTTGAGGCTGAAGGTCTCAGAAAGTAGTTCAGGTAGTAAGCAGGCAGGGGCTTAGAGGGGTGGTGGCCCTAGTCAAGAGGCAGGACCCAGAAGGCATCACAAATTAGAACTTCAGTAGCACCTTTTCAAAAGATCATTCCAGGGGGCTGAGGATACAGCTCAGCTGCATAGCACCTGCCTGGCAAGCATGAGGTCCTGAGTTCAATCCCTGGTACCCCCGCAAAAAAAGAGAGAGGAAAAAGATCATTCCAGACTTTGCCAGTAGAGAAGGCACCATGGTTTGCTGCTGAGTGCCAGACAGGGTGATGTGACTGGTTCCTTTCTTCTTCTGAATCTCCAGTCTTTCAGGGGCAAATTGAAGTGTGACTTGCCTAGTGGGTATGAGAGGCAAAGGAGATGGGGCTCAAAAGCACTCTCTACTGCTGTCCTTGTTTGGATTTTTATGTGGATGGCAAGGAAAATTCTAAGCAAAGCCTATTGTCCAGGTGCCAGAGGAAGGGCAGGTTCTACATGCTCACCTCTTTCTTGGTAGCCTTCCCAAACGGTTGCACTGCCTGGGGGACACCATGCCGGCACCTGCCCACAATCCTAACTTCCTGTCTCCGCAGGGTCCTGTGAAGGCATGCATTCAGGAGCACATACTTCCCGACAGCCCTCTGTACCACAACAAGGTCCAGTTTCCCCCAGCAGGGGGTCTTGGCCTGAACCTGGTCCTCAGTATCCTTTGGTAGCCTACAGGGTGGGGTGACTGTGAGTGGCCAGCGTACATCATTGGAGGGTGGCCCACCAACCCCGTGTTAACTCCTTGACCCTGCCAACAGATCCATTTGAGTATTACATATTCTTCTTTGCCTTGAGCCTCATCACTCAGAAGGTACAGAAAAGATGTCTCTGAATACAGCTTGCTTTACTTCTTTCTGTGAAGGGTGGGGTCTTGGCCTGGGGTGTCCCTATGGTTATTCGTGCTTGGAGGAGGCCAGGGTGCAGCCCGGAGCCCATGCTAATGATGAGTTTGATTTTCCAGCCACTGTCCATGTCCCTCCAAGTCCGTACTTCAGACTGTGCCTATTTCATCCTGGTGGACAGGTACCTGTCATGGTTTCTGCCCACTGAAGGCAGTGTGCCCCCTCCCTTCTCCTGCAGTCCTGGCGGGGCCAGCCCATCACCTGCTCCCAGGTAAGACTACCTTGGTCATGAAGACCTGGCCCTTCTACGAGGGAGTTAACTGGTCATGAGTCTCACCCATGGCGGCAGTGCTACCACCCTTCATCCAAGATTCCCCATTTTTTCCTGTGCCTCATTTCCTAACAACTGTCTCGGCACAACCAGAAGGGTAGGTATCCATGTTTAGTGTCTGGTGGTCTCTGGCCATCACTCAGACCGTCAGGTCTCTGGCGTCACTGACAACACGCATGACAGACTTGTGTTCTACTTGTTGTAGCAGCCCTCACTGCTGACAGTATCTTAAGACCCATTGAGACAGTGAGCAAGATGCGGGTTGGGGGTTGGGGGTGGAAGGATTGTTGTGAGGGCGTCACTGCTGACAGTATCTTAAGACCCATTGAGACAGTGAGCGAGATGCGGGTTGGGGGTTGGGGGTGGAAGGATTGTCCTGTGAGGGCTGAGGGGTGGGGTGGGGGGACACCCGGGGAGAAGAGCCTTTGTACTGGGCCACACAGGCTGAGCCTGACTCTGCCACCTCAGTGTGAGGGTGAGTTGGGGGCTCTAGCTGTTTCCATGAGGCTTTGGTGGCCCCGCTGCCCAGGGTGTCTTGGCTGCCTCTCCCCAGGAGTCCCGCCTGCCCTGGCCCTTCTGCCCCTTCCTTGGCTTTTCCAGACTGCTCCTTTCCTAGGAAGCTGTAGGTACTGCTCAGGCCATGCCTGCTGCTGTGCACACACCAGGCCATGCCCTCACCCACACTTGTGTGGTCTAATGCCCTCAGAGAGTGGACAGCTGGGCCAGGAGGGGAGAGGCTGCTAGGTAGGAATGGCTGGTGACCCTGGCTTGGCGGTGATACTGCACCTAGGAAGACTTGGATATGGGTGGATTCACACCCTCTGCGAGGCTGAATCCAGCTGTTAAGTGGTCTTCTGGGTCTGTTTTCTGGGTGTTTTTGTTTTTTGTTGTTGTTGTTGTTGTTTCCCACTGTTTTAACTTTTTATTTTATTTTTTTGGTACTGGGGATCGAACTCGGGTCCTCGCACTTGTGAGGCAGGGATCGGAACCACTGAGCTAAATCCCCAGCCTGCTTAACTTTTTATTTTGAAATAACTTCAGACTTACAGGAAAGATGCCATGCATAACATAAAGAACTTTCATAGTCCTTTAAAAACTTCTGAATTGTTGACACTTTGCCATGTGTCTGTCTTATCCTCTCTTCCACTTTCAGTATTTTTTCCTGTGGGCTGTTTGAGCAAGTTACAAATGGGCCATCCCAGGACCTCTCAGTATTCCAGAGTACATTTCCTAGAACCTGGCACATTCTCCTCCGTTACCATAGTACTTTTGTCCACACTAGGATGCTAGTCCTGCTCCCAGGCCACCACCTAACCCTCAGGCCATGTGTGGGGCTCACTTCCAGCTTACATCTGTTATCGGGCTGGGGTCCAAGATCAGCTCACTCGCTGTGTACAGTGATCTTTCTGTCTTTCCCAGCCTTGACCCCTTAGTATACAAGTTGGCTGTAGATGCTCCCTTATGTGGGCTCTCTGGTGTTGGTCTGCTCATGACTAGGCCTAGCTTGGGCTCTGTAGGCAGGAACACTGCAATGATGATACCACCAGGTCTTCCTCAGACACCCAGTTGGGAAACCTGTAGTATCCCATTGCCCCATTACTGATGGCATAAGTTTGGTCCCTGGACTAAGGGTGTCAGGCAGGTTTTTCCACTGTAAAGTTAAATTTGTACTTTGTGCCTAAATTATTACTGAAGATTTAGTAGGAAGATATTTTGAGAGTATTTAATTACCAATCATGTTAGCATCCACTGTTAATTCTTGGCCAAATGAATTAATAGAGCAGTTGCCAAATGTTGTTTTTAACTTCATCTCTTCTGCATTTAAGTGGTAAGGAAAACTTTTCCCTGTTTATTTATTCAAATAGATCAGTGTGGATCTGGGGGTCATTGTATGCGTCAACAATTGATTGGTTACCCCCATTATTATGTGCAGACTGTCTCTGGCTTGGCCAGCAGGAGTCCCTAGCAGGCCTCTTTTTACGTCCTCATCAGGACTCCAGCCATGCCCTTTGCCTCCTATGGCCTCTACCACACCAGCCTCCTGAAGCGACATCTCTCTCATCAGACATCTGTGAATGCAGACCCCGCCTCCCAGGAGATCTGGAGGTCGGAAACTCTCCTCCAGGTGAGCCAGTGAGGCTGCTCTCTACCTCCATTTCAAAACAAACTTCAAGGGGAGGAAAGTGGGAAAAGGAAAGTAAAAAGAATTAAAATGTGTTATGTACATGTACTGTACCAGCTTCTCTCAATAAGTGTAATAGTTATGTCCTGAAAACGTGCTAATAAAAATAAAAATTAAAAAAGAAATAACCCCAAAATGTTGAGCCGCTTTCCAGCATGTGGAGCGGAGTCCTGAAGCATGCAGGTGGTTCTAAGTGTTGGTACTTTCACGCTGTAACATGTAAAACATAGCTAAGAAATCGGCACACACACACACACACCCATCGAACCCAGGGCTTTGCACTTGCTAAGCAAGTGTTCTACCAGTGAACTCTCACCCTCCTTTTCTTGGCAGTACTGTGGATTGAGCCCAGGGGCTTCATACTTCCTGTTAGGTGAGCAGCTCTACTACTGAGCTACATCGCAGGACTTTATTTTGTAAGATGGTCTTGCCAAGTTGTCCAGGCTACACTTGAACTTGGGGTTCTCTTGTCTCAGCCGGGATTGGAGGTGTGCACCACAATGCCTATCCCATACCCTTCTGCCCTGTATGTCATTGACAGTGTTTTCCACTCCAGGCTCCCTTGTCGAAATAATTTTTTCTCCTTCTCATGGTGTACAATCATTACAGCATTTTACTTTCTAGTGGATCAGTATAAACACTATTCCCCCATTCCCACCTTGTCCCTCTGACCTTCTCACACGTTGGGAGAGGTTTCCCCATGACTACCCCCTTATGAGTATTAAATCCTGCCACAGAAGCATCTTCTTTGGCTTTTTAAGAAGGTTCTTGGTCTAGACTGGCCTTCACCTCACCATGTAGCCCATGCTGGCCTCTAACTTGTGGCAATTCTCCTGCCTCAGCCTCCTGAGTGCTGGGGTTACAGGTGTCACCAACATGCCTGGATTGGGAGCATCTTTATGATGCTAAAGGGCAAAGGTCCTGTGAAGCCCCCACCGTGGTGGTTAGGGAGCGTCCTGCACGTTATTTCAGGAGATGCAAATGGGAACAGGTACAATCCTCTGTCCGCCTTTGTAGGCTCCAGCTTCTCACTCAGTAGGAGCTGTCGTCACTGTTAAGAGGGGACGGTGGTGTGCAGATGGCCCAAGCTGATGTGGGCTCTGGGCTGTGCTGGCCATGAGTTGGACGGATGACTGAGACACAAGCCGACAGGACAGAGTTGAAGGGTTCTGTTTCCTGCACCAGAACACTACTGGTTTTTTAATAAAACTTTGTTTTTTGGTACTAGGGATCAAACTCAGACCTTGTACTTGCAAGGCAAGCAGCAGAACCACGGAGCTAAATCCCCGGCCCTAAATTTTACCATCTTAACCATGTCTAAGTGTATTTACTGTCCAGTACTGCTGAGTACATTCACACTGCCATGCAGCTAACCTCCAAAATGCTTTGTTGTTTTTAGAAACTGAAAATCCCTTACATAACTCCATTTCTCCTCTTCCCCTGGAACCACTGTACTGCCTTGTTTCTAAGAATGTGACCACTCTACTCTAGGTACTTCATGACTAGAGAATTTATCTAGATTACACAGCTTTTGTTTTTTGTGACTAACATTTCACTTTAGAATAAGGTCCTCAAGGCTAACCCATGTTGGGACATGTATCAGAATTTCCCTCCTTTGTATGTATGGCTGCATATCCCACTGTATGAATGTACACTGTACACATTCTGATCAGTAGACACCTGAATTGCTTTTGCTTTTTAGCTCTTGGGAATAAGGCTGCTAAGGGCAGGCGTGTATAAATATCTCGAGTCCCAGCTTTGAGAACTTTGGGGTATATATACCCAGGAATGGCACGGTGCAGCACAAAGTAATTCTGTTTTTGTTCTGTCTTGTATGTGCCAGGCAAGCATTCTACCACTGGGTTACCTCACCAGTCTTTTTAATTGTATTTTGAGACAAGGTCCCCACTCATTTGCCCATGTTGTCTTTGAACTTGGCAATCCTCCTGCCTCAGTCTACCAGGTACTGGAGATTGAACCTGGGGCCTTTGCTACATCCCCAGCCCATGTTTTATTTTGAGACATGGTCTCAAATTGCAGAGGCTGGCGTGAATCTTTCGTTTTGTTTTGTTGAGACAGGGTCTCCCTCTGTAGTTCAGGCTGGCCTCAGACTCACTGTTTAGCCCGGATTGCCCTTGAACTCACAGTGGTCCTCTTGCCTCAAGCTGTCTGAGTGCTGGGATTTCAGGTGTGTGCCACAATGCCTGGCTGTGTGTTTAATTTTTTTCAAAGTACAGCTTTTGACAGTTTCAACACCATTTTTTTAATTCCATCAGGAGGATACAGGGTTCTCATTCTTCATATCTACAATTTTCCTTGTTATTTTCTGCTTTTTTGGTAATAGCTACTCCAAGAGCTGAGAAATGGTGTCTCCTTGTTTTGATTTGCATTTCCTTAACGGATAGTGATGTTCAGCCTATTTTCATGTGCTTAATGGGACATTTGTGTATATCTTTAGAGAATGAGACAGGGTCTCTCCCTTTGTAGTTCAGGCTGGCCTGGAACACACTGTAGTCCAGGCTGGCTTTAGCTTCCTGAGTGTTGGGATTACAGGTGTGTGTCACCATGCCCAGCTCCTTTGAATCAGTTTGATTTTTTGTTGTTGAATTTTAGAAATTCTCTAGACATTCTGAATATAAATTCCTTATCCAATATGTGGTTTGCAAGTTTTTTTCCCCCATTCTATGGGTTTTATTTTTATTCTATCAATGGTGTCTTTTTTTTTTTTTTTTTTTTTTT